CTTATATACTCCGTTGTCAGCCAATGGCAAAGAAAGTCGAGCGGAAGGAGGGCGGAGCCGGAGAAGAGCGCTGCCGGGACTGGGCTCCTTCTTCAGGAAGGCGGGCTTGCGGCGCAGGCGCGGACTTCTGGGCTGTAGCTGGTAGCCGTGGCGTGGTAGGATCTGGGGAGCTTGTGACTTTGCGGTTTCTAGTGCCACAACAGCGCCCTGTGCATAATTCCTGTCCAGAGCGCGGAACTGAAGCTAGCCAGCCAGGCGGGGCGTTCTTACCCAGCTCCTTGTACCTGCGAATTTGAGCGGCTTTCTCGCCTAAGCTGCTGTTTCCTTACCTGAAACGTAGGAAGGTTTGTTCGACACAACAAACTGTTAAGTAAACAAAAACGTGAAGATTTATTTGATTTTCCTGGAGAACAGTTTAACAGGAAATAATTCAGATTTAAATGTTCACTTAGGGGAAGTTTCCCTGAAAAAGTTAAAAAGGACAAGATTGAACAGATGGTATGGATTATATCTGTCACCTACCTATCATTTTTTTTTTTTGGTCGAAGAAAAATTTTTGCAATATCTATCAGTAGGAGATAAGTTTGCTGGGCGCGGTGGCTTGTGCCTGTAATCCCAGCACTTTGGGAGGCCGAAGTGGATTGCCTGAGCTCAGAAGTTCAACACTAGCCTGGGAAACATGAGGAGACCGCGTCTCCACAAAAAATACAAAAATGAACCAAGCATGGTGGTGCGTGCCTGTAGTCCCAGCTACTCAGGAGGCTGAGGCGGGAGGATAGCTTGAGCCCAGAGGTCAAGGCTGCAGTGAATATGATTGCAGCGCTGCACTCCAGCCTGGGCAACAGAGTGAAATCCTGTCTCCAAAAAACAAACAAAAATTAGGAGTTAATTGAAGGGGCGCGTAATCCCAGCACTTTGGGAGGCTGATCTCTTGAGGCCAGGAGTTCAGGAGACCAGCCTGGCCAACATGGCGAAACCCGGTATCTAGTAAAAATTCAAAACTTAGCCAGGCATGGTGGTGCATGCCTGTAATCCCAGCTACCGGGGGCGGGGTTGGCGGAGGGGCGCTGAGGCGGGAGAATTGCTTGAACCCAGGAGGCAGAGGTCGCGGTGAGCAGAGATTGCGCCATTCGCACTCCAGCCTGGGCGACAGAGCAAGATTCCGTCAAAAATAAATAAATAAATAAAATAAAATCGCCGGGCACGGTGGCTCAAGCCTGTAATCCCAGCACTTGGGGAGGCCGAGGCGGGCGGATCATGAGGTCAGGAGATCGAGACCATCCTGGCTAACACGGTGAAACCCCGTCTCAACTAAAAATACAAAAC